GTGAAAACTTCTGGCATTGGCCCTTATTTACCCTGACTATGGGGCATTTATTTTAGAAGACTAATTGGGGTATGTTTCTTTTTGTTTTGCTCCCCCAACATTCATGATTTTTTGTGGATTTGGTAAATTTAATTATTGTTCCTAAACGAATTGGAGATTATAATATTGGATTGTTATAAAAAAATGAAATTTTGGTTATTTAGTTTGGTGTAATTTCGATTGTTGAAGGTAAAGATTAGTTTTTTAATGTTGTGATGTTGTTTGGATGTAATTTGATTGGGGGGGGGTGGGATTGGTTTTTTTTGTTAGTGTGTTTTTGTGGTAGTGAACTTGGTGGTTATGTTTAAGTGGGGTGTAGGGGGGGGTTGTGTTTTTGGGTTGGGTGGGGTTGTATTGGGTGGGGCAGATGTTTGTGGTAATATGTATTTTTTGACTGGGGGGGGTAGGGGGGGGGGGGGTTGGTGATTTGTTGGTTTTGGGTGATGTTTGGGGATTTGGGATGGGTGTACGGTGTGGGGGGGTATATGGGGTGAGTATGTGGGGTGAGTGGTAGTTGAGATTTGGGGGGGGTGGGGGGGTTGGGGAATAGGGGGGGGGTGGGGATTGGGGTTTGTTGGGGAAGTGTAGGAGGGGGGGTGATGTGGTGGTTGGGGAGGTGGGTGCTTGTTTTTGACATGGGTGGGGTGGGGGTGCTTGAGGGGGAGGGAGGGGTGGTTGGGATTCTGGTTTTGGGGTTGGTTAGGTTTTGAAATTGGGGGGGAGGGGCGATGGGGGGGGAGGGGGGGTTGGGGGGGGGGGGGGGGGGGGTGGGAGGGTAAGGGGGGGGTGTTGGGGGTTGGGTTTTGGGGGTGGGGTGAGAGGTGGGGGGTGTGGGGGTGGGGGGGTTGAGGTTTTCGGGGGGGGGGTGGTATGGGAAGGGTGGGGGGAAGGGGAGGGGGGGAGAGGGGGGGGGGGTGATTTTTGATGGTTTTTGATAAGGGGGGTGGGGGATATTTGGAGATGGGGTGATGGGGGGGGGGGAAAAAGGGATGGTTTTGTTTTGTGGTTTTTGTTGGGGGGGGGGAGGGGGGGGGGGGTTTGGTTTGTTGGGGGTAAGGGGGGGGGGGGGGGGGTGTGGGGGGTGGGGGATTAGGGGATATTTGGAAGGTGTGGTTTTTTGTTATTTGGGTGGGTGAGGGTTTGGGTGGGGTGCGGGGTAAAATGGGTTTGTAGTGGGGGGGGGGGGATTTTGTGGGGGTGGGGGGAAGATTGGGTGAAGGTGGCTGAGAGTGGGGGGGGGGAGGGGGGGGGGGGGGGGGGGGGGTGAGTGTGGGGAGGGGGGGGGGGTTGGGGGGGGGGGGGGGGGGGGGTTGGTGCAATGGGGGGTTTATGGGGGGGAGGGGGGGGATGGGGGGGGTGGGTGAGTTTTTTGGATTTTTGGGGGGTTTTTGGGGTGGGTTTTGGGATTGGATGTGGTTACGGGATTCAATAATGTGGTGGACTGGGGTTAGTTCTTTGGTTGGGGGGGGTGGTGAAGTGGGGTGATTTTTTTGGGGTGGGAGGGGGAGGGGGGTGGGGGGGGGAGGTGGTGTGGGGTGGGGGTGAGGTGTTAGTGGGTTGGGGGGGGGGGTGGGGGGGGGTGGAATGTAGTGGGGGGGGGTGGGGATTCTGGGGGAAAAGTTTGGGGGAGGATTGGGAAATGAATAGGTTGGTGGGGGGGGGGGGTAGGTGGGGGGGGAAGGGGGGGTGGGGGGGGGGGGGGGGGTGGGGAAATAGGGGATTGATTTTGGGGGAAAGTGGGTGAGGTGGGGGTGGAGAGGGGAGGCGGGGAGTAGGTTGTGGGGGACTAGGTTGGAAGGGGAATGGGGGATAAAGGGTGGAGGTGAGGATGAAAGGGGGAAATTTGGGGTTTAGTTTGAAAGTGTTGGAGGGGGGGGGGATGGGTGGGGGGGGGTTGGGGAAGGTAGGTTGGGGGGGGTGGGGGGGAGGGGGGGGGTTTTTTATGGGGGGGGTATTTTGGGGGGGAAGGGGGTGTTTGGTGGGGTGGGGGAGGAACGGATGGATCAAGGGGTACTGGGGGGGGGGGGGGGGGGGGGGGGGGACGGGGGAGGGGGGGGGGGTGGTGGGGTGATGGGGGGGAGTTTATATATTTGGTTAGGGATTAGGGGGGGGGGTGATATGGGGGGGGTTGTAGGTGGGTGGGTTTTAGGTTGGGGGGGAATGGTGAAATGGGGTTTGGTGGGATGGGGTTAGTTGGTGGTGGTGGGGGGTTAGGGGGGGGTAAGGGTGGGGGGGGGTGATGGGTGGGATGGAGGGGGGGGGGTGTAGGGGTTGGAGGGAAATGGTGGGGGGAAGGCAGGGGGGGAGTTGAGTTTATGGACACTGATGGGGGTGAACGGGGGGTAGGGGGGTGTTTAGTGGGGGGTTATAGGGGTGGGGGGGGGGAGGGGGGTTTTGTGGTGGTGGTGGGGGGGGTTTTGGGGGGTGTGGGTGGGGGAGGGGGGGGGGTGGGGTTGGTGGGGGGGGATTTTTTTGGGTTGGGGTAGGGATGGGGGGGGGGGTTTTTTGGGGGGGGTGGAGAAAGGGGGGGGGGGGGGGGGGGGGTGTAAGGTGGGTGGGGGGTTGGAGGGGGGGGGGGGGGGGTTGAGGGGTGGTGGGAGTGGGGTGGGGGGGTTTATTGTAGGGAGGGGGGGTGGTGTTTTTCGGTTGGGTTTGGGGGGGGGGTTTTTGGGTGGTTGGGGGGGGGTATGGGGGTGTGGGGGATTTGGGTGAGGGGGGGGGGGGGTTAGGTTTGGGGGGGTGAGTGGTGGGGGGGTGGGGGGTGGGTTTGGGGGTGGGAGGTTGGGGGAGGGGTGGTTGGGTGTTGGATTGGGGGGTGGGGGGGAGGAGGGGGGTTGGGTGGGGGGGTGGGTGGGGGGTATTGGTGGGGATTTGGGGGTTGGGGATGGGGGGTGGTTAATAAGGGGGGGGGGTCAGGGGGGGGGGGGGGTGGGATAAAAGGGGAGGGGGGGGGGGGTGGGATGGTGGTTTGGGGGTGGGGGGGGGGGTTTTTGGGGGGGGGGGAAAGGTTGTATGTGGGGTTGTGGGGGGTGGGGGTTTGTTATTTGGGGGGGGGGGGGGATTTGTGGGTGGGTTGGGGGGGGGGGATGTGAGTTTGGATGTTTGGGGGGGGGTTGAGGTTGGGGAGGGGGGGTTATTGGGGTGGGTGGGTGGGGGGGGGGGGGGGGGTGGGGTAGGGGTTGGGGGGGGGTGGGGGGGGGGATGGGGTGGTAGTGTTTAGGGGGGGGGGGGGGGGGGGGGGGGGGGGGGGTGGGGGGGGGGGGGTGGGGATTTTTTGGGGGGTGTGGGGGTGTTGGTTTGAAGGACGGGGGAGGGGGGTTGGGGATGGGGTATTTAGTTAGGTTGGGGGGGGGGAGGGGGGGTAGGGGTGTGTGAATGGGGGGGGGTGTGAAGGTGGGGGTTGGGGGGGGTGGGGGGGGGGGGGGGGGGTGGGGGTGGGGGGGGTTGAATTTGTGGGTGTAGGGGGGGGGGGGGGGGGAGCGTGTGGGGGGGTATAGGGGGGGGGGGATTTTGGTGGGGTGGGGGGGGGGTGGGGTGGGGGGGGGGGGGGGGGGAAGGGGGGTTGGGTGTGGGGGGGGGGGGTAGGTTGGGGGGGGGGATTAATGGTGGGGGGGGTGGGTGGGTGGTGGGGGGGTTGGTGTGGTTTATGTGGGGGGTGGTTGGGTGGTGGGTGGGTGTGGTGTGGGTGGGGGGGTTTGTGGGAAGGGGGTGTAGGTTTGTAGGGTGTGGGGGTGGACTGGGGTGGGAGTTGGTGGGGGGAGTTGGGTAACAATAGAAGAGTGGGGGAGTGGGGGAGGGGAGTGGTGGGTCTGGATTTGGGGTGTGTATGGGTGGGGGGGGGGGGGAATAGATTCGGTGTTAGTTTAGTGTTTTCTGGGTTTTATGGTTGGTACATCTTGAGGAGAGTGGGGTTGTGGGTTGGAGTTGAAATAAACATTGGAAAATAATAATGTCCTCGTAGATTTGCGGGTCCCATGGTTAATGTTTGTAACGGAGAATGGGCCGAGATATGGGGTGGGATTGAAATTTCAGGCGGTGCATGGAGCCCTTGGAGAGGGTACATCACCTGAGGGGAGGAAACTTTGGGGGATCCCCGTAGCTGGGGGCTCTGATTGGGCTAATCCAATAACTGAACACAGAGCTTACACCGGGTTTGGGCTCCATTTACACGAATGTTCTGATCCGGTTTGTCTGTCCGTTTTTCCCGCAGGCAGACCCGTTTAGACCCTCCATTCTTCTCTATGGAGCGGAGGGTCGGGTGGAATTGTGCTTGTTTACACCCGCCTACCTCCAATCCGATACGATCTGCCAAAAACAAACAGAAGGGGTTCTCTGTTCCCGTCAATCTTGGCGGATCGGAGGGCAGTGAAGTGTAAACAGACAGCCAGTACGTTTACACCCGACTGCCCACAGATCAGAGTGGGCGGAGTCTGTGTTTCGCTCTGCATAAGTGGAGCAGATCTGCAATCACATTACATGAGTACATAAATGAAATTTTTTTTTTTTTTTTTTTTTTTTTGGTAATTTACATAATTTTTTTTGACTTTTGTTTCTTAGGCACAGGAGCCTTCCAGCTGCCCCCTGGGAAGGCTACATCACCAGTGCCTTCCAGGAAGATCTCATATGTATACTGATCTCATGGAAGCCATGGCAACGTATAAACAGTTTCAGATCTTATACAGCACATACACAAAAATTTGGGGGCGGATATCATTGGTGGGTCGGCACCAAAAACATGGAAGAAGAGGCCGGCCTCTGATGATATGAGCTGTTGGAGGAGGAATGTAGCAGTAGCATACATGAGCCAACAAGCCAGAAAATCGAGATGTATTTATTTGGCTATGCAATTTTAAGGTGGTAGTTTAATATAAGGAGGATGGGGGGGGGGCATCCGTTTCAAGAAAAAGTTTTTTTTGTCTGTAGTTGCAGTTATTTTATTCTCTATTTTCTCCCTCAGATCATGGATTCCCGATTTAGCCGCGCGTAAATCTTCCATACTGGAGCGCTCGCTGGCCAGGCCGAAGACAGAAGTCAGCCTCAGCGCCTTTGCTCTTTTATTTTCCGAGATAGTCCAGTACTGCCAGAACCGAGTATATTCGGTTTCTGAGCTGCAAGCCAAGCTGTCCGAGCTGGGCCAGCAAGTGGGATGCCGGATCCTCGATCCGCTGGTGATGAGGGAGAAGAACGGCAAACGTGAGACCAAAGTGATCAGCGCTCTGCTCTTCATCAAGGTGGTGGCCTGGAAGGCGCTATTCGGGAAAGAAGCGGACAAGCTGGAGCAAGCCAACGACGACGACAAAAACCTACTACATTATTGAGAAGGACCCTCTGATCAACTCTTATATATCCGTCCCAAAGGAGAACAGCACTCTGAACTGCGCTTCCTTCACAGCCGGCATCGTGGAGGCTCTGCTGACCTGCAGCGGCTTTCCGGCTAAGGTGACCGCCCACTGGCACAAGGGGACCACTCTCATGATCAAATTCGATGAGTCCGTCATTGCTCGGGACAAATCGCTGGATGGACGCTGAAAATAGGAGTTTTACCTGAAAGGACACGTGCTTAGGATGAGCCTATTAAAGTGTCCCGTTGGGTGTAACCCCTTCCCACCGCCTCCTCCTGGCCCTTTAAGTGGATCTTAATGCTGGGAGGTGGAGGTGGGTATTCTGATCATGTGAACACTGTGATTGACAGTCATAGCTGTTACATGATTGGATACCTCCAGAACACAAGTATGTATTCAGAGCTGCAGAGGAATGCCCAGGTGTCCCATGCATCCCTGTGCAGGCAGTCCCATACACACGTTCTCATGCAGATAGTGTGGGGTTAATTCACTAAAGCTGGAGAGAGCAAAATCAGACTCGCTTCCGCATAGAAACCAATCCACTTCCAGGTTTTATCGCCAAAGCTTAATTGAACAAGATGAAGTTAGAAGCGGATTGGTTTCTATGCAGATGTGAGTATGATTTTGCTCTCTCCAGCTTTAGTATATAAACCCCTGTGTGTTGGGGGGGTGGGTTGGGGGACGTTCTCCCCCACAAATTGGGAGCAGCAGCAATATCTGCTATGTATGTCAATTAACACAGATGGAACTGACTGCAGGAGGATGCATGGAACACCTGGGCAAAGCACACCCTTGCGCCGATTTACGTATGCCCATGTGTACAAGGCCCAAGGAGTTAGATCCTCCGTCAGGTATTTATTGCTGTCTGTGTCACCCTCTCTTTGTGCCGGTGATCATTGTCACTGGTATTGAAAGTGACAATTGTCACCAGAACAGGAATAGAGGGAAAATGTTCCAGGAAAACACAAGAATAGGACACTTATGTCTGTCTTCAGGACAGGAAATTAAAATAAATCTCCCCAATGACATATAGATGGCACAAAGACAGTCAAGGTTTTGACTTTAGATATGCTTTAAAGGTGAGCTCCAGGGAATATAAAAATCCTCCCCTAAAGTGGGGCTCTCCCCGTCCTCTCATTTATGCCTGGGGTACCCCTAACAAGGACTTTTACTTGCCTGATCCCTTGCTCCCATGGCTGGCTCTGGCACCCTCCTTTTCTCCCTGATGCTTTGACCTGCGGGTGATCCTACAATGCAGGGCTAGTGGCTCCACAATGTACATTGATGGCATCAGAGTGGTTGTGATTGCTGCCATGCCTTAGAATGGTGGCTGCAGGAGCCGATTGCATAGTGAGGGAGGGATCAGCTAAGTAAAAAAAAACATCTTTACTGGTCCCCCAGGCATAAATGAGCAGTTACCCCTTGCAGAGCGGAGGAGCCCCACTGTAAGGAAGGATGTCTCTTTTTCTGGAGATCAAACTGTAACGGAACCGGACCCTGACTGCACTAGGGTATTTCCGTTAGCTTCCTGCTTCCCTGTCCGAACACAGATCCATGGACACCACCGCTGATCATACAAGATGAGACAGCACCAGACTTGTACTAAAACAGGACTGCTTTATTTTAACACAGACATAGGATATATACATTCAAGGGAACAACCCCACCTCCCTGCATAAGGACACAGGGTGGGGCAAACCACATCCACCAAGCCAATACACAAAATACATACATCCCATAATAGTTTGCGCCCAAGCAAGACACTTAGGGGTTTATTTACTAAAGCTGGAGAGTCCAAAATCAGACTCCCTTCTGCATAGAAACCAATCAGCTTCTAACCTCAGCTTGTTCAATGAAGCTTTGGCAATGAAACCTGGAAGCTGATTGGTTTCTATGCAGAAGGGAGTCTGATTTTGGACTCTCCAGCTTTAGTAAATAAACCCCAATGAGACCACCCGCCAATAAACAACTCTCACACCCCACCTATACATGTCTACACAATATCAGGACATTCCACCCTGTACCCCTAACAGGCACAGGGTGACTTACACATAATAGGGATATGGGGAGCTGAGACGGGGTCTCCCCTCCCCACCAAAAGGGGGCTGTGCTCCATGGCCCCCCCCCCACCCAAAGTGACTCCCATCACACAAACCAAAATACAGAATGAATAATTTGTGGATTCCACACATGGACGGTGACAGTATGGACTTGTAGGAGGAGCAGACTCGACTAGTACCAATAACCTCACTTTGAGTGTCTGAGAGATATGAGGCCTGCTGGTGCTCAGACTGAAGTCGATCTGTTTTGAGTGCAGTCGGCCTTCAATTAGATTCCTGAACCTTCTGCGTTTTTTGTTTGCATCAAAACAAACCGCTCCTCTGTTAACATCTGTGCTCTCTGGTTATTGCTTTTGTCAAGGTTGACTTTGTCTTTGTTACTACAACTCTTCACAGCTGTAAATAAAAGCATTAAAAAGTAAATTCTCTCTTCTCTTTGTATTCCACTTCCATCCAGTTTTCAGTGAATTACCTTCTATCAGCATCCTCTTCATTTTAGAGAGTTCTATACTCTCATCCTTGGCATGTCAGTATTACTATTTGTGCCATTCTTAAAGGGTTAGTTCACCTTTACCAAAAATCTTCCTATGCAGACGAGGGGTACCTGTAGTTAAAAACAAACTGCAGCTTTGTCCAAAGTTAGGGCTCATGTACATAAATGCCCGGATGGGAGCAGTGCAGGAGCGGGTTGCCGTTTATAAACATCCTCCGCATTCATAGCCTGTACGCACTCCCTGGGAGCGTGCGGCACTGCGATCCGGTGCCCGCAGAACACCGATTGCTGTACGGGACCTCTGTGTGAGGTCCCGATTCATGTGATCACTGATTGGCCAATCAGTGATCACATGTACAGTAGTAAATAAGATGTCACTTCTGACATTGCTTACTACGTGTAAAATCTGTGAATGATCACAGAGGTCACATGGTACAAGGCTATTCACAACAGCCTTGTACCATGTGACAAGCTGTGACCAATCACAACACTCTCAGTATTTTTCAATGGCTGCAAGAAAGCAGCCAGAGAGAAGGAGAAATGATTGCTTTTACAGCCTTTATGGGTGTAAAAGCAATTATTTATTTCAGGTACTTATTGTTTCAGGTACAATTTACGCAGCGCTTTACACATATATATATTGTACATTCACATCAGTCCCTAACCCTCAAGGGGCGTACAATCTAAGGTCCCTAACTTACATTCATACATATACAAGGGCCAATTTAGACAAGAGCCAATTAACCTAGCAGCATGTCTTTGGAGTGTGGGAGGAAACCGGAGCACCCGGAGGAAACCCACACAGGCATAGGGAGAACATGCAAACTCCAGGCAGGAGGTGCCGTGGCTGGGATTCGAACCAACAACCCTAGCACTGGCGGAAGTGCTAACCATTTAGCCACTGTGCCGTCCTATCAGTGTAAAAAAAAAAATCATCACACCCCCCCACAAGTAGTACAGTGTCACTATGGTGACACTCTACTACTAGGGTGACAGTATGTTAAAAAGCAAATAATATAAAAATGGAAAAAAAAATGTAGAAAAAAACTCAATTTTTGGTTATAAAATAATTTGGGTTTTTTTTTTTTTTATTAAGATAACTGAATAAATTTTGGCCAAGATTTATGAAGAAAGATTATTTGCAAAATTTTATAAGAAAAACACTTATCAAAAATTTTTGACTTTTTCATTTATATAGCAAAAAAAAATCCCAGTGGTGAATAAGTACCACCAAACTAAAGTTTTATCTGTCTCAAAAAAATTCTAATGGGTACAGTGTTGCATGACCACGCAATTGTCATTCAAAGTGTGATAGCGCTGGAAATTGGCCTGGACAGGAAGGGGGTGAAAGTGTCTGGACTTGAAGTGGTTAAACAAAAATCCCAAAATTCAGCTTTAAATCTCAATTCTGTGTAAATGGTCCCCAGCGGGTGTTTAAAATAAAAATGCAGCTCTGACTGCAATACTCGCCAGCAATTGAGCAATGTGTGGTCAGATGACTCCTAATAATAATACTGCGTCACCATTGCGGACTGCCCACTAATGAAAAAAAGATTCAGAGTGGACCCTGAATACCAAACAACCATCCTAAAGACCCTCGAAAAAAAAAAAAAATGGTGAAGAAAATTTTGGGTGGACAGGCCTGATTGGGGTGTGGAGGGTGAACGGAGTTGAGCCTAGAGTTGGGCTATTATGAGAATCTGTTGTGTTGGATTAATGGTGGCCGCCATTGCCGAACTTTCCTTTTACAAATGTTCGTTTCCTGGCTGATAATTCTGATGCTTTGACTTTAATCCTAGTTGAGCTGCTGACCCAGAACAAGCATAGACATAAAGGCTCATGTACACGGGGCGTTTGGAAAACTCTTCTGACCGTTGGAAACTGCTGGAAAACATAGGTTCAAAAAAAGTCAGTTTATGTGTGTTTAGAAGCAGTTTTTAACCACTTCAGCTCCTGAGGATTTACCCCCCTTAATGACCAGGCCTCTTTTTGCTACTCGGCGCTGCGCTAATTCAACTGATAATTGCGCGGTCATGCAATGCTGCACCCAAACGAAATTTATGTCCTTTTTTTCACACAAATAGAGCTTTCTTTCGGTGGTATTTGATCACCGGTGCGCTTTTTATTTTTCATGCTATAAACAAAAAAAGGCCAAAAATTTTGAAGAAAAACAATATTTTTTACTTTCAGCTATAAAAAATATATAGTAAACTCAAAGTTGGTTATAAATTTAGGCCAAAATATATTCTGCTACATGTTTTTGGTAAAAAAAATCCCAATAAGTGTATATTGATTGCTTTGTGTGGAAGTTATAGCGTCTACAAACTATGGTATAAATACTGCAATTTACGCCATTTTTCTGCTATACAGCGCTGTGCTAGTTTAACGGACAATTGCGCGGTCATGCAATACGGTACATAAATGAAATTTACATCCTTTTTTTCCCCACAAATTGAGCTTTCTTTCGGTGGTATTTGATCGCCTGTGCGGTTTTTATTTTTTGCGCTATAAAAAAGGCTGACAATTTTGAGGAAAAAAAAAAACAATATTTTGGACTTTTTGCTATAAAACATGTCCAGTTTAAAAAAAATGCAAAAATCAAATTTAGTCATAAATTTCTGCCAAAATGCATTC